TAGATACCACGCGATGGTATTCAAAAATTTATAATTCAATTAAGAATTACAAACAATAAATTTCAAATAGTTTAATTCGAAACACTACTCGATGAGTTACTTCAATATGAGATTTGCAGCTTCCATTTCTAATTGTATTGATCTTTTCCACGTCGACCTCTACCTTGAGAATTCCATAGAAGTCCTTGACGGACGATGTTTTCATTTGGTCTGCGGAGCATATGTCTAATCCAACGCCATTTTCTTTTGCAAAATTCAACAAGCGAGGGGGTCTTATTGGTAGCGTTCGAGAGGTCAGTATTACTGATGCTGTCAGGCCACCATACTTATTCCAAAAGGTTTCCCGATCCTTAAGCTAAACAATTTTCAAATTGTTCAGATTATCATCAGATATTTCATTAAATTTTTAAGTGATCGTTACTTCACAGTCCATTCTTTTATTAAATGGGACGCACAGTCAATCATACATATAGGGGACATGGCTCAATAGTCTGTCTTAGCTACTAGTTATAAGGTTTGTAGTGGAAATTATTCTAAGGTACATAGATAACGTAAAAATTAAAAAAATAAAATGGAAATGACTTCCTTTACGTTAACTAAAAAGTGGAGAAGCTCTATCTAATGTTTGGAAAAGTTGTATATATGTATGTATATAAAGATATTAATTTTATTTTAAGGTTTGATGTTTCTAAAAACGTTTATATACATCGTACTATATACATATATAATTAATCTCAAGTGATATGACAGCTACGTAATAGCTACGTTTAATAATAGCAACGCTCTGGGAAATAACTGTGTATTGAAGACAAGATATTGCGTGTTATCTAATCGGCCTACTAGTAACAGTTTTTTTTAGTTAATAATAATTTTTATTTGAAGGCAATCGACAATTAAAGAAGTTCCAATTCAAAACTGCATTTTTACTTTTGTCATTGCAAAAGCGACCTTGAAGTGCATGGTAAGGCAATGAGCTGAAAAGTTATCTTGGATCTTTATTCTTATTTTTAAGTACTACGAAACTAGAAGAAGGTTTACGTAAAAAAGTGGCGAAACAAATTAAAAACGAATTATTATTAATTTCGATATACGTAACTCAAATTGAAACCACACGTAAACTTAAAAAATAATAAAAAACTAACAATTATAGTTAACTATCGAGGGGCATTGCTAATAAAAAAACTACATTTTCAGAAGGTCAGATGAAGTGAATAAAGGAAATAAATTTTAAATTGTTTATAATTGTTAGAACTTGAGAATTTATGAGCATTAAAACTATATGTGTTGCGAATACCTAAACAGTATTTTAGAAAGTATTATAAAATCATATAACATTATACGTAAACCCCAAAGCCACATACTTTTTTGTACCTATTCCAATAATAACGACAGTGTTTAAGTTTTCGCAAATAGAGTACCAAAAACCTTTTCTTTTATAATATAGACAAAACCCAATGCAAACAAACCAAATACACGATGATAACCAAAAAAAAAGCTCAGGACTAAACGTTGCCAACAAAATATAAGAAATAACAGTGGAAAATGCTTATGGCTCTACAAAATTTATGGATTACCCCAGTAGGTTGACACGTATTTGCAAGGATCGTTTACAGTGGTTTCCAAAGTGTTTCTAAACTCACATTATTGAAATTTCTAGTTAATATTAGTGCCAAAATGTAATTGCTTACTTTTCATTATCTTGAGCTTATATTATCAAGTGAGGATTGAGCCCTCACTTAAGTTGACATTATTTTAATATTTAATATCCTGAGAAGAAGGAAATATTACTTGAGAAAGAGGAAATATTACTTGAGAAGAGGGAAATATTACTTGAAAAGAAGGAAATATTATTTGAGAAGTAAATATTACCTGAGAACAAGTAAATATTACTTAAAAAGAAGTAAATATTACCATTCTTATTGCAAATCGTTTAGCCTGCTACAATTAGGTCCTAAAACTCAAGGCGCTTGGTCCTTGAGAGATCAACACCAACTGTACTGTTGTATTATCATTCTTATGTTGTGATTGTAAATCGCGTACCTTAAGAGACCAATTTGTAAAATACAAGTCTGTAACAGATGAGTCCATAGTATACAAATGCATAGGAGATGATTTCTTAAGAGTTGAGTTCAAAGGAAGAGTTCATACAGTCCATTAGCACACTAATAACTTTTGACACTAGACTTTGTTTTATAAATATGTGTATTATAATAAAAAACGTTAACATATTAATTTTTTTTTTGCTATTTTAGAAACAAAATGAAAGTGATTATTATTCTGATGTTCGTGACCCTGGTTGCTGCCCAACAAAGACAATACACAAATAAATTTGATGGCGTGGATGTTGACAGTGTACTTACTAATAACCGCATTTTAAATAATTACATTAAATGCTTGATGGAAAAAGGACCTTGTACTGCTGAAGGACGAGAACTCAAAAGTAAGTACATTTTTATAATCTTAGAAAAGACGAACATTTTTTTATTGTAATTTAATTAACAATATATATTTTTTTTAGAATTGCTTCCAGATGCTCTTCAAACCGATTGCTCCAAATGTACTGAAACACAAAAGAGGAATTCTCAAAAAGTCATCAATTTCCTTCGCGTCAATAAACCAGGAGAGTGGAAACTTCTTTTAGACAAATACGATGCCAAAGGCATTTACAGAAGTAAATATGAAAAACAGGGATAAATTTTCTTTTGACAAAAAAAATACATATATAAATGTTTATAAATATAATTCGAATAATTATTAATTTCTCAATGATCATAACAAAATTTTGCAAAACATACTTCATACTATATTTATACGCATGTACAAAATGAAAAGAATTTAATAAAAATTATTAATATTGAAAAAATGTTAATTTGATTGTATTTTTAAATAAGAATATTGTCATTTATTTCAGTAAATAATATATTATTTTGATAAACAAAAATTTTAAAAACAAAACATCTAAATAATTCAAATACAAATTTAAGCCAAAATATAATAAAAATATGTTTTTTGATTTAATATTTAATAGTTATTGGAATCTAAACTTTGTATATATAATATAAATTCATATATCATATACTCATTAATACGATTTCCAGTAATATAAAAATAATTGATTACTGATTTCTTGACAAGCATCCAAAAGCAGTTGAACAATATATAAGTAATGAATAGCAACTTCAAATTGATTTAAAAAAAAATAATTATTTTTGATTCTAAAATTAATTAAAACTTTTTGGAAATATTATAATTAAATCAAATGAGTTTTACTTTATTTTTATATTTTTAAACTTTTTTTCACTTTAGTCCTTTCGACAATAAGTTCTTTAGAAGTCTATATTCTTAACTTGTTTTTGGTTGATTTCATTTTGTTGATATCATTCTACATATTTTTAAATATTTATTATATTATATATTTTGAATCATTAATTACAGTACTTTTTTAAAACAATTTGAAATTTATTTTAACACCTAATTATGGCAAGTAAAGAAACTTTCAGATAATTCCTAGCAGGCACCCTAAACTATAAGGCAAGTAACATATTATTTAGAATTTGGCAGTCAACTTGTTAAATTATGTCAAAATCCTTATTGACATGTTCTTAATCAAACTATAGTTTGCAACCCTTTTATTGTAATTGTGACATTTTTATACATACAGAAATTCGTTGATCAATTACTAACTTTTAGGAAAATCTATCCATATTTTAATCTAAATTCATTATACATCAAGTATATGATTTTAAAAATTAACTTCTTTTATTTCTACAAAATCAATCATATTATAAAAATCGATAAAGTACGTTCGTGTAACTCTCTCAGTATGAAAGAAATAAAATATTTGGTATTATTAGGTCCTAATATATATATTTAGTTTAAATAATAGTAAAAATATGAAGTTTTATACAGTGTTTTACTCGATGGGTAAAAACATTTTACCCATCTATATAGCCGTTATGTCATTACCTTAATTTCGTCTGTATAAAAATGCTTATATATGTATGTACATATTAGATTAAAATATATAATGTTCTAACATAAATTGAAAATATCTATTTAATTTACATATTATATTATATATTTATTTTCATATTGATTTATTATAAAATGTTCATGTAACTAGTTATAATCTATGTATATACATTAAAACTGCATTTTCATAATCTATATACACTAACATTTTTCTTATTTTTTTTCCTTTTTTTTTTTTTAATTTTTTAATTTTTTCATTCAGTTTTTAGTTTTTCAAATCGATCTTTATAAATTTTACTACGGTGTTCAATATTTAATATTGGATCCAAATAAGCAGAAGCTCGTTGTATTCTTAAAAAGAATCTTGTACGATCGCGCGCTAAATCCTCCCAATGACCTTTACGCGCATGTCGATAAGCGAAATTCCAGGTATGCATTACGTGTACTTGAGGTTTTAAGTTAAAACGAACCTGCAATAAAAATAAAAAAGTATATATTAATTTGTTAAGAAATAAATGCACAAAACAAAATACAATAAATACATCAGAAAAACTGATAAATAAAATAAATCAAAACAAAACTAAACAATTAAAAAAAATATATATAGGATATCTTATCTATATATAGAAAGTATACAAATCATATCTCTATTGGAAAATACAGAATTGACGTCGACAAAACCGATGGTACTAAATACTTATAATAAATAATAAGTTACAAGCAGCTAACAAAAGTCGAACTACACACGTCTTTAGAGACATTCAAGCACCATTGATCCTGTCAAACAAAAACAGGAGTATCAGATTGGTGTTGGTTACAACAACAACAAATACTTCTTATCTTAGAAACAAAAAAAACTTCATCAATTCTATGGATCGGTCTGAGTAGACAAGGTAATTTTTAAGTGAAGAATAAATATTGATAACAATAATTTATTAAAAAATTATAATTTTATTAAAGAATAGAGACTTCAACGAGGCTATTGTAATAGTAGAATATGGAATACATCCTAAAAGTAGGAATACATCCAGATAGGCCAAATACAAAACACAAATTGTCTTCTACGTTCATAAAGATACTAAAACCCCCTATATAGTTAACTGAATAACGTTATTAACCGATAGAACGAAATTGCGGGAGAACGTAAAGAAAGCCTAGAAAGCCGTGCACAACAGCCTGTAGTGCCAATAAAGAGAACTACAAATGATTATCATACTTAATACAATAAAAAATAAATAAATAAAAAAAATTAGCTTCAACTTAAATTTGTATTAGTCTTCTACGCAATCTTTTTCATTAAAAGCTATATGTTATATTATATACGTTTAGTGAACAGCCTCTTACATCATGTAGGATGTCTACCAGTACTAATACAAATGTCATCCATATAAAGATATTGTATCGTTGTTTATATATTGAGTTTACTTCGCAAATATAGGACTTCTCGCTTCAGTTCATATAAGGACTATTATAATTTATTGTAGTAATTTAAGTAACTGTTGCCTCGATCTTTCTTTATTTTTAATAATATGTTAAGTGAAATGATCTAGAAATTTAGCTTCCACAAAGAAGGTGAATATGCAATAAAAGAATTATCATCAGACAACTAATACGTATATACTGTCCGTCATGTATCAATTTAAGGATTAATCAACAACACACCTTATAAGCATAATAACAAATAAAAGCGATGCTCAACTAAAAAATACATAATTCTCCTGCTATATATATTCATTGCTAGAGAATTTTAACAGAAATATTAAAGCAGTTTAATTTCATGGCAGTAAAACATGGTAAATTAATTAAATTAAATTAATTAAATTAATTGTAATTAATTTAACTATCATAAAACAGTGTCTATGTCCAAATCAAATAGGACTGGACTAACTACACTCCCCGAACAATGTGAGTTTGTCCGGGTGTGAAGCTGGAACCTGCAACTTTGTAGGCGCCATAAATTTGAGGGATAACTATGGAACACAAATAAAACGCTGCAAATTACTTAAGAAACCACATCCTTGGACATTCCTAATAAATTGTTAACGATTTAAATTTTTAATGGATGTACTATAATCCATCTAGATGGAGCATACATTCTATTAGTTTATAATATACCGCATGATTTTTAAATTTTATATAAAGAAATTTAAATAAACATATTAAAATATTCCGTGTGCTCAATTTGATCATTATGATCTTACAATTAAGTTCTTTTATTATATTAGCCAATTAAGTTGAATAAACCTATCAGCTGGTGTGAGATACAAAAAAATTGTACTTTTTTAAGAAAATGCTACTTCTAAGAATAGTCGTTGTTAACACAGATACAAGCGATAAATTAATTATATTTTCTGAAAGCTAAAAACAGGTCTCAGATCGACATTTTGAAATTATCATATTTTTCTTGTTTTTCTACTTTTAATATGCTACAATAAATCCGCTACTTCTCTTATTATTACTTTATAAAAAAAAAGAAAGACAGAGGAGAGGATATTATATTTTTTTTTTCACTTTCAGTTTTGTTACAAGTTATACTTACTTATACTAGACATTTTCAGCTAACCATTGTAAGACTACCTGCATTATTATTTTAACAAATCTGCACAATATTGTAATTAATACTATTTAATTTTCCCGTAGCCCTCACCGAAAATTCATATACGTATAATTATCTATTTTTTATCAAGGTCACTTAATAGAAAGTCATGTGCCTGAACAACGATGAATATTATTAGTGTTAATAGAAATGCAGTTATAGTATGATTTTGCCTATTTTATGTTCTAAAATCTGATTATGAAGAAAATAATTTATTTGCATTCAACTAAAATTATAAATCAATAGAAGTTTTGATGGCTTCAGAACAGCAAATATAGATACATAATAAGCTATGTCTGCATAGGGGACATAATGCTGCTCACCTCCCCCATCCGGAACCCAGAAAACAATATATTACAAAGATGTGCTGTAGCACAACAATATGAAGATTATTTAAATATAGTGATTACCATAAGAAAAGGTAGTAATTGTTATGTATTGTCGGCTATTTGTAATATATATATACATATTTTCTTTACGTTTTAATAACCAAGTTTTAATTTAATTATTTTAATTTTTAAAACGGTGTAATTGGTCATTGTTCACATAATACACAATCCATTGAATTATTCTTGAAAATTATATTATAGTTTTACCAACACATCGACTATATTTACTGTCATCTTTAGAATGACCAAATAGTCCAAATAATTGTGTAAATAAATTATAATTTTTTATTTTAATTTTAATTTAAACAAATGAGCAATTATACACCGTTTAAAAATAAAAATAATAAATAAAATTTTGGTTATTAAAACAATAAAATATTAATTTCATCCATTCTGCTCAAAACTTTCAGAATTCAGTGAGAAGTTTTTGAAAATTTATCATAAAAAATTTTTAACTTACATAATTAAAATTTGTTACTAAATTTATATTTCAATTCAGTTTGAATATGTTTTATTTTATCGATGAAAAAATTAATAAGATAATTTGAAAAATTTAAAAATGCAGTTTTAGTCTAACTACCATTCTTCCGAGATGTTATTTAATTAGATAACATAATATTCGACAATAATTGTCTACTTAATTAATATTGCAACGTAAAAGTTTTCTTTAACAATTATTATAACAAAAACAATTGCTATAACAAGTATTATCTGCCTAAAAGTCAATTCTTTTCTAATTAAGTAAGGAATGTATCCTTAAAGAATAATATACATTTATTAAAATCTGATAATTTGATGATTCAACGAATATATTGTATATTGCTATATATTCTTTGCTATAACAAGTATTATCTGCCTGAAAGTCAATTCTTTTCTAATTAAGTAAGGAATGTGTCCTTAAAGAACAACACACATTTATTAAAATCTGATGATTTGATGATTCAACGAATATATTGTTTTTAACGAAAATATTGTTTTTAACGAATATATTATTTTTAACGAAAATATTACTGATTAACGAGTTAGCTTCAGGTTAGTGGATTGCTCCAACCAACCGGTGTGTCCGATTTACAATGAAGAATATAATTTATTTATTAAACTATTTTAATGCAATAGTTAAGTATAATCTAATATTATTAGGAAGATATAATTAACGTTATATATTCAGAATTTCATAATATACACGGTTATATAATAAGTAAAAGCAATAATAGTACATTTGCAAATGACTAAAATGAATAATATATATTATAATATTGTTATTAATATAATTTCTTTAACTGTACGCACCTTTTTAATACTTGGTGTGTAGTCGTGTACTTCGGCCGTATCGTTATCGATAGTATTTTCATCATTACTACAATCGGACAAGCAACTCTCATTATCTTCATCTTCATCAGAATCACTTATACTGCTGCTGCTAAAATCTATATAATCCGCGCATTCATCACTTTGGCAATTATCGTTATCATCAACAAAACATATAAAGTCATCACTATTTTCCGAAATGCAGCGTTGGCGAGGTGTTCGAGTTCGGATGAAATCAATATATTTAGGTTCTGCATCGTCTTCATCATCTGTTTCAATAGCCGTCATGTTTGGCAAAACAGGATTCCATAGTTGATCAATGGATGTCGATGTGTTTGTATTTGTACTATTATCGAGATTATGCGATAAGTCACCTTGAAAGTGACTTTCGATTTCGTTATTTTTATTATGAGCTTTCGCAGCCATTCTGTTCATGGTTTTTAGGTTTTCCACACACTTACGTCGTACCAGAGGCTGATTGTCAACTACAAAATAACAAAATGTTGAACCTGAGCTGGTGGATAATTTTAAATCCATAGTTGCTTCAAGATTTCCAGTCAATATTACTTCAGATAACATATTTTTATTTATGCTCGTCATTAGAGTTTGATTAGGAGCCATAGTTGTTGCATCAGAATTTAAAAACGACTTTAGAACAACTTTACTTTTCATTAATTCCAAATACATTTTAATTTGTAAATCCAATTTATTGTTATTTATTTTTGGTACCTGCATGTATTGAACACCAAAATTAAACTTTTGTTGTTTCTGGACAAAGTAATTTTTTGCCAATGTTGACGTTTTATATGTAATTTTACGAACAAAAGCCAATAGAAAATCAAATATTGTGTATACAAAACTGTGTAGTGATAACGCGATTTGTCCCGTAGTTTTTTTGGTAGCCATTGCATAAAGATGATTTTAAAATAAATTCTTCTTTAATTTCACATAAATTTTTTAACAAAAAATTAGAGTTTAAATTCACTTTCATATATTCGCACATTTTTATTCTTAGCATGTAGTATTCATATTATATATTAATTAATAGATATTACTCACTTCAATATTAAAATATATTAACGTCATTACGTGCTGTTTTGGAAATAAAACAATATCTGCAAATGTTATCACTTTCAAGCATGTATGTTGGCATGGATTGACAGCAGCAAGGCTTGTCAAACATTAATTTTTGTATAGTTTCTAAGCATTAAAAATAAATATGGTTACGTATGCAAATAAATTTCACACAAAAATTGTAAACTTTTTTACAATGCTATTTAATTTTATAGTTTTATTAAATAAGCTAACTTTTTCATTAGTTTTAATTTTATTTTTGATTCTTTTACCGCGACGTTTATTAATTTAAAAAAAAAATATATACACATATTAATATAAATATTTTATGATTTAAATACAAAAATTGTTTTCAGGATTATTGTTCAACAGTACTCCCGCAAATGAATTAATTTTTTCGGTTTGTTCTCTGCGACTTTGTATACCTGTCTTCAGTTTAGTAACTGATTTCTTTAACATTGAATACACTTATATAAATTATTTTTAACGAATAAATAAGGGTGGTTTTTTTGTAAGATTTACTTGTTTTTCTTGGAAAACGTTTCTATTTGTGTAAATATGTTAGCTATCCTAAAACAACCTTGTACAATTACAAGCTTGTGATTTTAGTATGTATAACACGTTACCATAGATAAACAATCGTGATTAGGTACAAAAATTCTGAAAATTCAGATTTGCAATCAACAATCACATAATAACTCCTTAATAATTTTCTTCGCTTCTGTATGTAAAATGTTATAAGTTCAAGTGATATGTAAAACATTGTATGGTAGCTAATTTGCTGCGATTTCGATATCAAGATACAATAATAAAGAGTTGCTTCGAAATATTTCGGATAGAAGCAGTTGGTTTTAACTGATTTCGTCCAGGTAAAATCAACAAGTTTTTTTTGTAAGTAAATCCTAAACTAATGACAATTTCAAGGTTTTTATACCTTGAATTCACCAATTAAGATTGTGCATGTATGCAGGTGTCGACAGTGTTGTCATGAAATTATGTGCCATTAACTTTAAAAATGAAACTAGACATATCTTATTATCAGTGAAGGATATATCTCATTTCTACAATATGCAAAATCAATTATGCTAACACTAAAGAAATACGACTTATTTAGCAGGGTAGACCACAACGACTGAATATTGATCCGATCAAAAAATACTTAAAGGATAGAGCCCTGACATTATTTACGAAAACTGACTGGCTTACCAACACCGCGTTGTCGAATCTCAGAATGGTTACAGGCACCTCGAGTAGGTATTCATATCTGAGTTTAGTTGTTGCTTAGTCTAATAAAGTGATAAACAATAATCTAGTCAAGCCGTAGATAGGGAATATGAAGAAACCTTGCAGTTAGTAGAGAGTAACAGTGCTCAAGTGCACTGAGTTAACTAGTCTCAACATAATATTTAAATAATAAAGTGGATGAATAGAGTAGATAGATGGATGTTTAAATCTGTTCATAACAAAATCAATAGGTTATTTGTGGAGTCCTGAGCATAGATGATGCCCAAGGTACAATAACTCATTACTGTTCCCTGATATATATATTTTAAACTAAAATATTGACCCATCCCTATTGGAGATACTGTTAATGTGTATTAATGCTTTGCTTTCTACCAAAAATAAACCTTTAACATTCAAAAAAATGGCAATACGTTTTATCTGTTTCTTGACATTTTTCTTTGTGATTTATTTCCTTAATTGATTGCGAAAGTTGACTAGAACGATTTAAATAAACAAGCTATTGGATTGGCTTAATAATGTCGAACAATGTGTCAAGTGCAACTATATCTATTAATTTTTGAGTGTTAAGTGACCCACTCACCCACAGTTAAACTGCAGACAGTGGCTTTGTCATTTTATCGCACACACACACACATACTCAATTTAAGTGTATTCGTTATAATCGTTTACCTGCAGTATTCATAAACATGATATGGAGTAAATACTCACGTTCAAATCAAATACAGATGGTTAACTCTCAGTTTACTGCGGATCACGTTTATTTATATTGAATTTGGCTTTAGGTGTAAAATAAGCCTTAATTTACCATAAATTTTTTTAAACCATGATACACAGACAATTAAATGATCGTCTGTAGAATATGTCTCTTATTTTCAGATATTAAAAGAGGAAACTTATTCAAAATAACTAAAATTATATTCCCATAAATTAGTAACATAACAATAGACGTAATTAAAACCCAATTAACAAACTATGTTGTGTATTTAGAAAAGAATTGAAAAAGTAAAAGCAGTGAAATCCAGTTCTTTGTAAAATTCTGGAGGGAAAATACATCTTCAATACTTAATAAAACCTTAAATAAATTAAAAACTATAAATATAAGAAATACTAGGTATTTTGGTCATATCATCCGAAAACCAAAATATGAATTGCTGTAACTGATTGTGTTAGACAGAATCGAAGACAAAATGCATAAGCCAGCAATTTTTTGCGACAAATCATAGCAATAATAAATGAAAAGAAAAATTAATGTAAATAGTAAATATTATAAAAAGTGTATGTAATTAATTAAATTAAATTAAATTGAACTATTTATTAATCACTGAAAATTAATTAATATGTAATATAAAATTGAATTATATATCAGTATGGATTTTATATAAAAAATCCGACTAAATTCGACTCGACGTAATTGTGATAATAAAACCTTAATATAAATTTTAAAAAGATATAACTAATAAAAAAATCTGTTTTGTCTTTTTCTGCGATTAGCTTAATACAAGAAAGTAAAAATTCTGGCATCTATGTTTTCTCTATATGAGCTGAGTTTTAAGGCATCGTGTAAATCAACTGTTCGCTCATTCGTTTTATTTCCGTAAAGTGACATATATTGTTTATGTATTTGATTTGTAATTTGTGTGAGGTGGTAGTGCACATCCTGTTCAATTCCCTTTCTTTCTCTTTCGGTAACTTCAACTGACGAGTACCATGAGGTAAAATATTCGTGAATTGTTATAATATTTAAAAAAGTATTATGTTTGGTATTTTTGATTTTAATTAAAAAGAGTGCAAAAACATGCAGTAATTGTAAATTTATTATATTTCAGTTCCCTAAAACTGCAAAAGAGGCTGGCTGCCTCCGTTATGCGATGCGGAAAAAAAAAAGTGTGGCTAGATCCGAATGAAATTAACGAGATTGCTAACACTAATTCTCGTAAGTGCATGATTTAAAATAATTATAAAAATAAACAATGTTTTGGTGCACAATGTGATTTCAAAAGATATAATTATGTTGAAATTGTGTTTTTGTATAACTAAATTATAAAAAATTTGTATTTCAATTGTGGCGAAATAAATGTAAATTCATATTACAAAAATGTGTGGAGTAAAAGAGAATTACTTTTCGTTATTTGTAAATAAAAGAACCAAATTTAATGTGCTCCAAATATTTGTTTATTAACAATATTGAACCAGTTCTAACAATTGTTTATTTTTCATTTTAAGGTCAAAATATCCGCAAATTAATAAAAGATGGTTTGATCATCAAAAAGCCTGTAGTGGTGCATTCCCGCTTCCGCGTGCGCAAAAACACCGAAGCTCGCCGTAAAGGCCGTCATTGCGGCTTTGGCAAAAGGAAAGGTACTGCCAATGCTCGTATGCCAGTGAAATACTTGTGGATGCAACGTCAACGTGTATTAAGACGTCTGCTTAAAAAATACAGAGATAGCAAGAAAATTGATCGTCATTTGTATCATGATTTGTACATGAAGTGCAAGGGTAACGTTTTCAAAAACAAGCGCGTACTCATGGAATATATCCACAAGAAGAAGGCCGAGAAACAACGTAGCAAAATGCTTGCTGATCAAGCTGAAGCAAGACGACAGAAAGTGCGTGAAGCACGTAAACGGCGTGAGGAGCGTATCGCTAATAAGAAACATGAACTTATTAGCCTACATGCTAAAGAGGATGAAGTTGCAGCTCAAGCCGCTACAACAGGTCCCAAAAAGTAATTTAAAAATTCTACAAACTTTTTAAACTGTTAAAATTACTTTTGCATAATAAAAACAACAAATATTTACATAAACAAATGTTGGGCAATATTAATTGTGTAAATGAAAAAGAGGTAACTTATCTAAGTGGTAGTTAAACAAATGAAATCTGCTTCTGATGTTGTAAACATAATTCACTATTTTGCGAAAAACTGAAAAATTAGTTAAATTGATAAGAATTTTAAAACATTGATAATTTTGAAGTGATAATATTTATGTTAATATTATTTCGTAATAATACTTAATACTGCAATTATGTTTATAGGAAGGCCAATATCAATCACTATGTCAAATGGATATAATCCAAACATATTTATGCAATTTTAGCAAACAATTTTAAGTTCAAATAATGCAAGTTTTTTTTTTTTTGAATATTTCAAATATATTATCGTCATAATCTTTAGTGTCATGCTATACCTGCCTCTGCTGAGTTCGGTCATCACGTAATGGATAACTCTTGCCTAGTCTTAACTGGAGTATATAGTGTAAAATATATTAGGTATATAATTATCGTTGTTTAATGTTATCGTCCTAGGCAGGTCTCAACTCATAACCATACAATAGATAATTCAGTTCAGTGTAGATAACTTTTTATTTCAAAACATTTATTTTTATATTATGCTAAAGAATGGTTCAACAGGAAAAATTAAATACGAATATATATTTAGACTATAATATAAAATCTATGATGAGTTTGATTTCAGTTAACTGAATTCGCTGTTTAGTCAATATGCTACCAATATCAATATTCTTTTGTTGTTTAAAGATCGATTGACTTAAACCATTTCTTTAAGACCTAGTTGCTATTTAGGGGGATTTGTTGCAACTAAGATACTGCATATAATAAGTCTTGTTCATTATGCATTACGCAAATAGTGGACAATGACAAAGTAAATGTTGAAAAATATCTTTATCTTTCTCATTCAAACGGAAAACAAAGCCTATTTTCCAATACAGAAACTTCTTTGTTCATCGGTTTTAACAATGATGATGAAACTGCGTCTATTTAAAATAAACCTTCACCTACCATTCTATGCCATCTATGCAGAAGGCGCATGGTCTTTTGAAACGAAAATCTTGAAAGAAAACGTAAAAGCTTCGATGATTTCATCTTATTGTGTTAGAATTAAAAGTTTAATTATAATATTTAAGTTTTTCAAACCATATAAAATAACAGTAGAAATAGGCTCAGCACTTTGTACAAACGAATATTACTAGCATAAAATATCTTTATCGTTAAAAAAATTGGTGCCGGTATGTAAGGATATTTAGAAAATAAGTGGATCGGAAAAGATGTAAAATCGTTCGAAATAAGAAACTCAACATCCACAGTTGGTAAAAGTGACACCGTAAACATTACAGAATATTAAGATTCAAATAAGACAGTTAAGTCGACAATGATGATAATCCTTTTCAATCAAAATGGATGATGTATTAAATTGACGCTACTATAACAAGACATTTTCCTCAACCGTGCGTTGTTGCTTATCTGTAGTTCTTATTTTATATAAGATACGTTATTTTAAATTTACAGTTCTCCATACATACAGTAATCTGAAACAATAGCTGAATTTGTCGTTGCACAACTAAGAGAGCTAACACTTTGTTATGAAACTAAAATATGTATTTCACATCTATAAAACTAATTTATTCCAATTAGTGGAAAAGCTTTTTAGACTGCTAGTACCAAGGGTTGAACTTGTACCCTGTCGGATTTAAAGCTAAGAGTCACTTTATTAATAAGAGTACATTAATGAAGCCAATTACAGTTAGCTGAAAGTAACCAGCCAACTGATCCGAAGCCGCATTTTACCTGAGTTGTTCTATTTACTTTTGAATTTTGATAATTTGCTGTGTTAGAAGTTCATTAACATATTCACTTGGTTTGTTATATTAAAACGAACTCATAAACCAGCTATAGAATAATTGAATTATTTAACTATATTTTTTTGAATTGTTAAATTTCCATGCTTTTTGCAGAGACATTATTGGTTGTATATTTTCATCTTATTCTTTCTGGCGCATAGATCGTTGTTTAGGAATTTATAAAGAAATTAACATTAATTTATGCTACTCCACGATATGCTAAAGAAAAATCGAAAATTTAGTCGTATTTTTGTTAATTTTTACATACAA